GTATTTGGGCATTTGCTTGTTTTTCCCTTTGACGGCTCTCTTTTTTGAGCAGTCTGATCTGTTCGGTCAGTAGATCTACCGACTTATAGAGCTCATTTTCGTCTTTTTCCTTTGTTCTTTTTCTTTCTTCCTCGTCTTCTGAGGAGTCTGCGGTTGGCCTTTGCCGTTTTTTCTTCCTACCTACCTCCGGCTCGGCATTAGTTGCGGTGGAGATGATATCCACTATTTCATCGTTTGTTGGGGGCGGGGCTTCAATCAACTCGGTGGCCGGGCTCAGCTCTTCGTCGAGGGTAACTTCCATGGTGATCGAGACGCTGTCGTCTGTTTCCACCTCGCTTTCGTCTTCTTCGGCATCTTCTTCGTCCGGGATGAACGATTCGTCGTCTCTACGATTAACGCGGATTCGGGTTTTAAATTTGAAGTAAATTCATTATATAATTTAATTGCAGATGCAACTGACGGGGTGGGTGACTTGGAATTGTCATCATCTTCTTTTTCTTGTGATGTCACCTGCGTGACATCACTTTTTTGGGGGGAGGGATCACTCATAATGCCGTAAGGCAGTGAACATAAGTGTTCAAAAGACTATATTGAGTTTGCTACTCTGAAGACTCTGTTTTTGTCTTTCCGCCTGGCCGCTGCCTGACGGTTTTCCTGGGTGTCGTCCCAGAAACCTCTCGGTAGTTCTCTCCCTGATTTCTCAGGGAGGGATCCTCTTCAAGTTTCTCTCACCTCAGAGGCAGGGGCCGTTTCTGTCCGACCTAGATTTCAAAACTAGGCCTTACAGTGTCATACCTGTCGACCCACTGAGGTGAACCCGTATTTTTCGCTGACACGAAGCTATTAAAAGCCTCCGCGAGGAGCCTATAAAGGCAACCCCTCGGCGGTTTAACTTAAAAATAGCCCCGCATCCGCTTTTCACTTTGTTGAAGGACAAAGGCCTGTGCAAACTGGGTGTCTTACTCACCCGGAGCTAATAAGCTCCGTTGCGTTCAGGTCGATTGCCCCCACCAAAGCACGCTTCGCTGCTCGTCGCTACGCTCTTCGCTGCACGTCTGTACTGTTGAACCGCTGAGGTCCAACTTTTATTACTAGTTACGTAATCCCTAAAAGTTCTACGTAGAACTGAAAAATTTTCTGTATGGAGAACGTATGGATATTCTTCTTCTTCTTGTAGTGCCTATCCATTTCGGATGTTGGCGACCATCATGGCAATCTGTATATTGCAAACTGCGGCTCTGGAAATATTTGTGGTTGTTGTGTTGAACCACGTACGTAGATTTTTCAGCCAGGATATACTTCGCCTTCCTGGTCGAAGTAGGTTTTCCTTCTACTTTTCCTTGAAGAATTACTTGCAGCAACCCATATTTTTCGCTGTTCCTCATGATGTGACCGAGGTATTCAATTTTGGCTGTTTTTATTAAGATTATTAACTTGGTATGGATATTACTTTTCATAATTTGAACACAACTACATATTAATTCGTCATTTAGATTACTCATTTAGTTTTGTAATAGGTATTAACTACTATGGTAGTATAGAAAGCTGATAGAAAATAAGTGAAATCGGTCTTGGAGAAGTTTGGGAAAAAGTCTACACTGCACGAGTTAAGTATGACCAATATGAGCGCTGTACCATTAAAAAAATTTTGCTAAAAAAAACTGAATCCAAGTAATTACGGATGTCAAAAAAATGACAGAGGATTGCAACCTGTACACTCTTTAAAACCACTTTATCCTAAGAAAAATTGGGTATTGGGTGTATCGTAATTTGTAAGATTTAGTGTTCCCTTGGAGATCCACTTCGACCAATGGTGAAACTTCGAGTCAGCCCTCTTACAGAACGTTTGTAAATTTATTGGTGTCAATAAGACCAGAATGACACCCCTACATCCTTAATTAGATGGAATGTTTGAGAGGATGAATCGAACGATGAGTAAACACCTGTCCAAACTTGTATCCGAACATCAAAGAGATTTGGACCAACACACCGGCAAAGAAGCTCGATATTTGCTATATATAGTGTCCAGGAAGTAGTATACACACAGGGCAATCTACGAGAGCATATGGCATGCTCTAACTAATTTAAAGAAAATTGTATGCAATTATGACATCAAACATTTGGCTATACCAAAGATAGGTCATGCACTAGAAAATTTGCATTGGAAGATTGAGAGAAGTATGCTTGAAGTGATCTTCCGAGAATCAGGCGTATGTATTACTGTGTGTTGCTTTAACCCGAACAGGTCGTGTGTTTCAAAGACAGTATGCTGTTATTTCTTTCTGATGGGTTCATGCAGAGCTGGAGAGTCCTGTAAATTCCGCTGCATATAGAGTTGCTGATCGGGATGCTCAGATCTAAGGCAGCAGTGTACCGAACAAGCTAATTTCTACGTAAACCAAATAACGGTGCTTATCTCGAAACGATGATGTGTGCTCGAGAATCTTTAAGATGTATTGACCGGCTGACAGATCCAGGCGTTCGTACAAGCGAGAATAGAGCTGGACTGTAAGTTCAGCTCTATTCTCTGTAAGTCTGTATACTCCCACTATAGTCTGTAAATGTAAGCCGTTATTTACTAGATTGTTTTATGTTGTAATAAAATTATAAGTAAAATATATTATATTATTGTACCCAGAAAAAAGTTTTTGGTTAATTAAAGGTTAATTTTTTAATATAAAAATTTGTTTCAATACTGTTTCGCGGTTATCTTTTGTGCCAATTTTTATTAATCTCAATATTAGAGAAACCACACTTTTGAAAAAAAATGTTTATAAAAAATTAATGAATATTTATTGCAAAAAGGCTCATGCAGACGTTATTTTTATACGCTATCCCAAATAAAAAAAAACATTGAAATTAGTCCATTATTAACAAAGATATTGCAATTTTTTTTGACGACGCCTATTGAAATTTTACGTTCAATTTTTAAACGCTTTAATATACTTAACCGGCACTTTTCAGACAAAAAGTTTTCATTTAAGGTCGCTACAAAATTCATTGTTTTTCAAAATATTCTACAATTTTTACTGTATGTATAAATGGCATTGTTAAGTAGTTGGGTTGATAAATGTACTAGTTTTAAGTGTTAATATTGATAAATAAACAAATTATGAATTTTTAATGTTGGAAAAACTATCTCGGCAAAAAATGCCCGTAGAAAAACTTTGAGTGTGAAAATTGTCAGGAACACGATTATCATATCGGCATTTCACAATTTTTAACACATAAGTTATAAAAAAAATTAGAACAATTTTCAAATTCCATTTTTGAGGGGAATTTAATTGAAATTTTGATTTTTTACTGCATTTGTCGAAAATATAAATAAAAACAAAAAATGAGACCTTATAAAAGTGTATACTCTATCGGCAACAACCGCGTTTTTGCAATTGAAAAAATATTAACATTTACTAAAAAAAATTAAATATCTCATAAACTGTTGTATATTTTCCAACCAAATTTTTTTGCTTTATACTGGTAACAGCGAAATTTTTTCTGTAAAATAAAATATTTATAGTGATACTGATAAAACTGAAACAGATATAATACAAAGGGAAGTACTACTTTGAAAAAAAAACTAACAAGCGTGAAAAAAGGTAAGTTATAGGAGAAATCGAAGTACAGGCGCTAAATACATTAAAGAAATAACAAAGGAAGAAATTGGAAATTAATTAAAATATCTAAAAATTGTAAAACCGCAAAAACGGACAATATTACTGTTGATTTAACTGTAGACTGAAACTGTTAATTAAGATATGGATTAACGAATAATAATTATTAATAATAATTAATAATAATTATTATAACAGTCTTCAGTCTCGCATCTAGAGTCATGCTCAAAATCCTTTCGTATAACACGAAATTTTAACCCTTCGAAAATTCCTTCTATTGCATAAATAAGTTGCAAATTTGTAGGATATCAAGTAGGATATGTCCTACCAGCAAATATATTAACTTTATGAAACGATTCTAAGGATTTATAGACGGACTACAACACGCAAGAGAGACAACAGAAAAATAGCTATAAACAGTGAAGGAAAATAGGTTTGTGTCTTGTCTCCCACATTCAGACAGGTATTACTTGGAATCTGTATAGCTAATTAAAAGACCTCCAATTTTCATATATTGTCATGTAGACGATATCTGCCTGCTAACTGAACTACGAATCTTCAGGTAAACAATTATAAAATATAATAAACGTCTTAACGAAATAAATAAAAATAAGTCGTTTACATTTTTGATAGCTGTGTTAAAATTATAGTAATTTACGAAGCGAAAACTTGAAAACAGATAAAACTAGTGTACGAACTTATATTAATAAATTTATAAGAAAAATTCTGAAGATATAAGGGCTTAATAGAATAACCAATATACAAATCTAAGTACGAACAAGACATACATTGGCTACAATAATAAAGAAAAAATGTAAATGGATTGATCATATATTAAGGAAGACCAAAATAACCGCAAGAAAAGTACTCAAGTATCGGCCCGAAACAAAATAAAAGAGAATCTAGAGATCCAGATAATAATAGTAAAAAAACTATTACAACAGAAAACGGAAAAATCGGATTAAGATGGGTAGAAGTCAAAGCTAGAGCTAAAAGTAGAAATGCTAGACGTATAGTGATTATCGAGGGAATACATGAGAAAAAAATACCTAGCCTGACAGTCAACCATTTGCATTAAGAAACACAGCAAATCCCAAAACTCCGCTCTCCACAAGAAAATGATAATGAGAAAGAAAGCGAGAGAAAGAGAGAAAGAGAAAGAGGGGGGTTCTTCCCATTAATGCCTTAAAACCATTTATTTGAGTTAGTGTAGAACAATTTATTGTCGCCTATAACTATTAAGCATACCAAGAATTTTTAAATATATTTTTGTACCATTATTTTAAAGAACTTTTTTAATGGTATTTTTATTTAACGACACACTTTACCAAAGTTCTTGTTACTATATTTGTCATTCTTTTTCTGTAATTTTCTGCTTGATTGTTTCAGATATGTTTTGGTACCAGAAAAGAATACTCTTCACAGTCCAAATCCGCGTTTTTTGCCCTTAGATTCACCTTTTGCTCGCACTCCTAATCCTACGCACCCCCCGCTTTTTGCTGCCATTTTAAGAAGAACCACTGGGATAAAAGTTCTCGAGTGTCATGCTTTTATCTGCAAAAGGGAAGTTGCTGCTAACGCTTTAGTAAGATGCTGTTTTCACGCCTATGCTGACTCTTCATACGCCAAACAAGTTGACACAGCAGGAAGCATCTATGGAACTCTCGCTTCTGAACGGTTATCTAGTAAAGAAAAGGTAAGTTGAATATTCCATTGTGACTAATTTTTCCTGATATCTTATCCAGTCTTTACTAGGATATTATCTTATATATTATCTTCGAAACTACATTTTAATTTTTAAATCAAGTCTCGATAACCGTACCGTTCTTCTGTACCGAGTGTTTAAATTATTATCTGCTATAATTCTACTTAAATATGACGTGTACGGTGCTTGCAAAAGAACTGCTGCCTCCACCGCAATTTTGATGTGTTTTTATTACATGTCCAAAGTAAATGATTCAAGTTTTATCAGGTCGTTTAAGTACCTACCTATATAAAATGTATCTACCAATAAAACTGCAAAAAAGATTACAGATTTACATTTCACTGAAGTAAATTTAGATATTTTCTTTAATTAATTTGTTTTGGCTTATTTAATAAAATACCCTATAAGACGTAAAAATTGGATAGTGTTATATTTATTACCTAGCGAGAATTCTTTCATAAACTTCGCAAGTTATAATACCTATGTATTTTTTGAAATGGTGCACTGTCTATTTCAAATTCGAAACATCCAAGCAGGCATTTATGAAAGTACTATGAAAGTAGAGTTTCTCTCTGTGGAATACTCGTTCTAAAATCACTAATTAGATCAACCTATTCTTAAATTACTCACAGAATCATCGATGTTTGTTAAATGGTCTGGATCTAATCCGGTCAATGAATAAGTCACGTTTGAAATTCTTTCAAACCTTCTGCGTAATTGGTTTAAGCTGTATCAAATATACGTTGGTTATGGTTATGGTTAAGGCTCAGTGTTTTTAAGTTTTTTTGAATATTACAAAATCCCAAGTTTTTGTTGTTTGGATGATATCGGATTATTTGGTAGAAGGTGATCTACGCTGGTATAAATTTCGAAAATATTGATTTTTAGAAAACTCATAACGAAATTTAACTAACCATAATTTTGTATCAAATAGTGGTAGTGGTTTATCATTAGAATAAAACCGATTATTATCTAAACAAACTTACATAAATTTTAAAAGTTCTTGAAAATCTATCTCACCTAACTCATGTGTGTAAAAGACATACACTAAACCGAAGACACTATTTTACTAACAAATATCACAAATTATATATGTTTGTCAGATTTTGGTAATCCAATGGATTTATCATCTGCGTGACAGACTTGCAGTGACAGACATTGCAACTCTGGAACGGGAATGTTGGTCCAAGGCTCCATGCAATAAATGCGGGATGAGTTTTCGTCATCCAAGACGAGTTCTTCCTCGTCACTGAAGGCTGCTGACGTGATCCTGTTTTCAAACTATCCTTCAAATTTCCTTACATTGGCTACCTTTTTTTAGCAAAGTTAGCTTTTAGTTGAGTTAGATCTGGAGAGATGTATTCAGCATTTAAAATTTACTCCTCTTACGATTAACTAATCGTTCTATATATATATATATATATATATATATATATATATATATATATATATATATATATATATATATATATATATAATATATAGATCAGAACAATTTTCGCAGATCCCAAAAAGACAGTAATGATAAGGAAATTAAAGGAAGAATATGAGCTATGTGGACTCAAGATAAACATGTGTGTTAGACCGAATACTTAAGTTAAGAAGAAGAGTCTATTAAGAGTTGTAAGACTTGTAAGTATTTAGGATCAATGATAAAGCCGAGATGGTACTTGAATGAAAGATATAGAAATGTAAATATCACGGGGAAAACAAGCCACGAAAGCACTCCACAATGGAGTGATATGGAACAACACTCTAACCAAAGAAAACAAAAAAAGGATCTTTCACAGCATAGTCGTGAATATTACCTATATGGAGCGGAAGTATGGCTAATGATAACATCAATACGAAATAAAAAAAAACAACAGTTGGACTGTACTTTATTAGAAGATATATACAAATCACCAGAGCGGATAGAATAAGAACAGAGGAAATATGGAACAGTATGGAAGTAGAATACTCAATTACAAAAATGTTAAAAAACAGAGCCTGGTTGTAGTTGTACGGGCATGTACAAAAAAATCCCAGCGCACAGGTGGTCGAAAAGAATATTGAACTGGGACCCGCGATGAACAAGTCGGTGAGGAAGACCCGCTACAAGATGGAAAATATACATAGTACATGCTATGATAGAAAGAGACCTCAGGGAAGATGACTGGGAAAATATGAGTGCTGGATATAGGTGCTAAATAGGAAAAAGCCGAATAAGAAGGAGATTTGGACAGTGGGGAAATATTAACTATAGTTAGACTTGGATGAGTTTAATTATTGAACCGGGAAATCATAGCTTCTGAAAGCTCTGTCTATGTTTGATCATTTGACTTAATATTCGTAGGCACTGAAAGCCCTGTCTGAGTTTGGGAGGTTGTATCGTTAGAAAGGCCTACTTTAGTTTGGTTTTGACGCTGGAAAGCTTGGAAATCTAAAGATGAAATCTCACCATAGCTGTTAAAATGAATATTTTGTTATCTGACATTGTCTGGTGAAATAGGAATAAGCAATCTCCAAAATCATAATCAGTGAAATTTGCAGGCGCAAGCATCCACGCAAGAAATATATTTTCGTTCATCGGAAAAATTCCAAATCCAGTCTACATATTGCTAACAGAAGCTGCTCGAAGATAAACTTGATTAAATAGCTCAGTTACCTGGAAATGTGTGCCTATTCTTCCTGGATAGTTTTTCAGTCTAATATTTAGCTCTTGATTATAGAATGTGTTAAGTAGACCAAAGAAACTGACTGGTAATGCCATTATCTTTGGCGTAAGTAAAATCAAAGTTGTTGTGACTGGATTCACAATACAAAAGTAACAAAACCTTGGTTTCATTCGATGGCTTAGCATGTTTCACAAAATTTTGCATACATTTAAGGAATACCTCTCCGTTCATCAATCCATTTTCTTACATAAATCCAACAGCACCAGTTAAAGCATGGTCTATTGGTTCGACACATATTTTTAGAGGAAAAATAAATGCCGGAGGGCATTAACGCAGCAAACCGTATTAATGGTGGCCTCCCTCGGCACTGTTTAACACGCCGACTTGTTTTCTGTCTTTTGTTGCAAATACTTTCGGATTTTGAAACTGTGCTAAATTCAGATTCGTCAATATTCCATATTTGGTGAGGTGCAAAGTTATAAAGTTTCATTATATCTGTCAACAACTTAAAAAATGTTTTCACTTGAACTTTCTTAAATCCCCTCGCTCTAGCTGTCGATGTAGCATCGAGTATCAGGAGTGATATGGTCGGGTTTCGTTTGTAAAAGTCTCTCAGCGAGTCCAAACCTGCAATTTCTTTTTCCAAAGAAAATCTATGGGATGTTTCTTAACAACAGCTATTTGGTAAGCAAGTTTTCCCAAATCCGTTCTAGTCATTACAACAAATCGCACCTCGAATTTTTGTAAATGTTCAATTAACTTGTTGTTCCAGTTCTTTCTTAAATGTAGCTTTGTGGCCACCTAAATACCATTTAGACGTTTTTTCTATTTGTGCTATTCGGAGCGTAGTGTTGGAAGGTGGTACGTCTTTGCTGCGATCTACAAACAGAGTTTTGCCTACGAACCGCTGCAATTGTTGAAAATATTAACTAACTTAAAAAATATATAAGTTACGTTGTAAATAATAAAATACATCATGAAGTCAGTTAAAACTTAAGACTTATTGAAACTTTCAGTATCGTTTACTGGGTGAGATGGCATTATATTTCGTAGTATGCCATCCTACCCTGTGTATACCTATTATCCAAAATAAATTGAAATTGTTTACTTATTTACAAGCTATGTAACTTTGTACCCTACAATATAATTGTCACATTAACCTCTAAAAAACCATTGACTGTTAGCTAATGTGAAACAACTAGAATCGTGCGTTTTCTGCACAAAAAATATTCTTTTGTGTCTGCCCCGATCGTTCACATGCACTGGCGACGGGTAAATTGAACAAGCTTCCGTTAGGTATGTACCTGTACATGGCGCCATTAGACTACTATTGGTGACGCTATCGCTACTATGCTGGCTAAGCCGTTATATTATGCCGTCCTAGGCCACCACTTTCCCCTAACAATTGTGAGTCACTATTTGCAGATTGTTTCACATTGGAATAGCATTTCTCTATTATGTTATGTGTCAAAAGACAAAAAGTCGATAATACCAAAAAGCCGATAATACTAATCATAAACAATGGTAGTCGTATTATTGCATGAGTTGATCACACAATTATTTATTTGTATTATGTGTTTGTAAGAATAACTGTTTAAATTATTTATGGGTGACATATTTTCACACATATTTCTGTAAAAAATTTTGAAACTTTACATTAAAAAGTAAATTTTATATTATTCTCTTATCTTTGCTTCTGTAAACTACAGCAATAAATACACCAATCTTTATGTCTTAGATAGAAGAATGGAAAATAGATAGATCGCAATCTGGATCTATAATGACATTAAATACAATTGCAAACAACAATCACAAAGATGATATTAGCATCTACAATGGTGATGAGAATCACAAAGTTTGGGCAGGTTCCCAGGACAACTTGGATGGAATTTATGACATTTATTCTAGTAGTACTATTTCGAGACCTTCACGCCCTAGGCAAATTTGTCAACCAGTAGGTCAGTATTTAATTATTTAATACATTTGTTAGTGTATGTATAATGTTATGTTATCAATAAAGAGGCATCTAAAAATGTAACGTTATTATTCTTCAATTTAAATTTTTATTTATTTCGATCCTATTCTCATTTATTTTTTGTATACCCCAGGTAGCCAAACTCCCTGGTTAGCTACTTTAACTATCGACATTTAACAGTTTATTTATCTGTTAGCAATTCTGACATCCGCCTGTCAGTTTCACTTCAAAATAAGAGAAAGTGAACATTTTTTCCGTATCTCTTTCATCTATTTAAAGTGGAATTTAAAATAATAAACTCATTTCTACTGTTTAATCTCTCTTGGCGTTTGATCCATATATTGGACATTGTCTTGTTCCCCTGTGTGGTGAGACACCCCAATTAACCACGTGGTGTGTACCAGCAATGTAACAAGCTCCATAATGCTAACATAATGGACCAACATCTCCATTGAAGCCAACAACTCCAAAGGAACCTATAATCCACCTAGAAGAATTACTACTTGAAGAATAGTCACTTGCAGAAGGGACAGTGTGTAATCTAATCCAAAGTTATTATAATCTTTTATTTATTCCTACCAAATTTCTCATTGTTCAGGTTGCGTTTAAGATAAGATGTACCTACACCTGAGACAAAGCTAATCGAAGCTTCGACTATAAAATTGGCAACCCAAGTTTCTTTTTTACCTACACGACTAAGGTGTCATTTTATTGTTAAACAATTAGCATCCAATAATAAAGGTAGTGTCGGTCAGATAGCTCAGCGGGCTGTGCGGCTGCCTCTCATTCGCTTCACTGTCGAATGGTTTAGTGGATGTGGGTCGAGCCCCAGCTCGGTGTACAGAAAACAAAAAGTCTAACGCAGCAGTTTAAAATTCTAGATGAATCTGCGGCTTAGACTAGGATATGCTGGGTTCTGATCGGCCTATGGTGGAGCAGTACGGCAAGAGATGGGCTTGCGGCTCGGTGATACTCCTCCATAGATCCCTACCGGACAGGCGTAACGCCTAAAAAACCGGATATATATATATATATATATATATATATATATATATATATATATATATATATATATATATATTATATATATATAATAAAGGTAGTGACTCCACTATTATACATTGGTTGGTATATTGTTACAATATAATTACACCTCTTAGATTATCTACTTTATTGTCTGTATTTGACACAAGTCAAATTTTCTCATATGATCGTGTACTGTGTGTCACGTCTGTTTTCAGATTTCATTCTGCCTACTTTTCAAAATTTTGCTATTTATGGCTTAACCATATTAAATACTTATTTGTAGTTTATTCTTTTTGGATACACATAATAATGTTTGTGGGGGTTTAACAAAATAATGTACTATTACGAATTAATAGTACTAAGAGTAATACCAGCTATTCCTTCGATAGCTCTGGCAAGATAAATGAACTTTCACTCATAGGTGCAAATAACAAATAATATAAAATTTAAATGGTTGCAAAAACAATCAAAAAACAAACGAAGGTATTAAACTAGGTGAACTTACCGAACCGCTAATTAGGTACCATAATTCACTACTATAAAACCAACCGATTTCGATGCATCGACGCACTCGCGAGGGTTGTGTCTTGCGTCTATTCTGCTCAACGACTTAAGCGCTTGTGTCCTACGGGATGCATAGCATACCCGAACGGTACGAATAGGGATCGAAGGTATACAGGGGGAGGACAAAATGTCTTGATTAATTTATACAACCATATTTGAATTTAAACATTCTCCCCCCTTTAAAGGCCATAAGGTCTTTAAAAAACAAAACGAATTCTAAATACTATCATTACTTAAACAATCAAAACGATAATTACTACAAACAATTCCTATACAAATATTAAACAAATATTCAAAACTTAAACTAAAAAATAAAAAAATTAAAATTAAAATGGTGGTTTTGTCGTGGTTCTATTCATAAAAGCCGAACAAAACAAAATCAGTAAAAAAAATGCTGACCATTTAATCTTCATCTATCGGCACGGGACAGATTCGGACAAGAGGCCGTTTTAAGGTTCCGGTAATCGTACGCACGGTAGCCACTCGAGCTACACCGTCTTTACCCTCATGTAATTCAACAAGACGCGCGAGAGGCCACTTACACGGAGCCAAATTATCCTCCTTTAAAACAACTAAGGTGCCGATTTTAGGTACAAAACTAGGATCTAACCATTTACACTTTTGTTGCAAGGTGTGCAAATATTCCTTTCGCCATCGAGCCCAAAAGTCTCTATGGATGCGCTGTAACAACTGCCATCTGGACAAACGATTGAAGGATACCTCCGAAAAATCAGGCACAGACAAAGATGTCAAGGGTTCAAGAGTCAGGAAATGTCCTGGGTTCAAAGCATTGAGATCTTCAACATCATTGGTTAATGGGGTGAGAGGGCGTGAATTTAAGACGGATTCAATTAACGTCAAAACGGTATAAAATTCTTCGTAAGTCAAAATTTGTGCCCCGACTATACGACCAATATGTTCCTTTACAGAACGAATTCCGCGTTCATAAATACCGCCAAAATGTGGAGCAGCAGGAGGAGCAAATGAAAACTTAATATTTTCCTTATCGAGAGCGCTCTCCATAAAGCTACTAAGCTGTCGATAAGCACTGTGGAAATTAGTGCCATTATCACAAAATACTTGCGATACTCGACCTCTCCGAGCGACAAAACGTTGTAAAGCGGCCAAAAAGGCTTCCGCGGTCAAATCACTAGCTAATTCCAGATGTAAAGCCTTTGTAGCGCAACATACAAATAAACACAAATAGGCCTTTTGAGTTCTAACTCCCCTGTAACGAGACATGGTTATCGAAAACGGTCCACCATAATCTAACCCACAAATCGAAAAGGGTTTAATGGCACCGAGACGAAATTTAGGCAAATTACCCATAGGGGGTTGTAAGTTTTTGGGAGATTGTTTCCATACACGAATTATTTCCGAAGGAGGGCGATCATCCCATTTAAGACCGGTTGCCCAAAGTTGTTGGATTAAATGTTTAATGAAAAACGTAATAGGTGTTAGGTAACCACAAGGATCATAAATTCGAGCTAGTTCGGACAAAAACGATCTTTTGGTACAAGGGACGTCTTGCAATTTGACTGAAAATTGAAAGACGTCGGACTGTGCAATCCACTTCAAACCAAGGATTTTTAATGAAGGACCATTTGCTTCTGGATCAAAATTAATGGCATGAGGATTAATATGGGATTCAGGAAATTGCGACAACAATTTGGGTTCATTCGAACACCATTTCCGTAACTCAAAGCCTCCTAACTTTAACAAAGTAACTAATTCGTCAATTAAAGTTTGTGCTTCTTCGAGAGTCGAAGCACCAAAAACAAAATCATCAATATACGAAGCATGACGAATAAGCGAGACGGCTTTAGGAAAACGAGAGCCTTCGTCTAATGCTAATTGTTGAAGGGTTCTTAAAGCAAGATACGGCGAAGATACTATTCCAAAAGTAACAGTTAATAAACGATATTCCTGAATTTCCTCAAGGCTAGAAAATCTCCATAACACGCGTTGATAATCCGTGTGTTCAGGAGCGATTAAAATATTGCGATACATCTGACGAATGTCCGCACACAACGCAAAACGATTAAGTCTAAAATTTAACAAAAGCGAGACTATGTTCTGTTGTAGCTTAGGACCGACCAGTAAATATTCGTTCAAAGATTTGCCAAGACTGGGACTTTTCTGAGACGCATTATACACAACTCGAATTTTATTTGAAACACTATCTGGTTTCACAACGCAATGATGTGGAATGTAATACTTTCCCCTTTTCTTTTCGGCATTAGGGACTAACTGCATATGACCTAAATCAAGATACTCCTGCATATGAAAAGAATATTCTTTTTTCAAACTTGGTTGACGAGATAAACGACGTTCTAATGATAGCAGTCTATTTAAAGCAATATCATAGCTATCTTGCAAACAAGGCGGCGATTCACGAAAAGGCAAAGACACGACATATTTACCTGAGACGTCCCGATTATGTGTTTCCCGATAAATGTTTTCGCACAGAGCGTCTTCTGGTTCTGAAACTGGCTTTTCCGGTATGTTTTCCAGTTCCCAAAATTTCGATAATGAAGAATCTAATGGGTCTTCAATATTTGAAAGACAAACAAGCGAAGTCGACGAAAGATTAGGTGTGCTAGTAGGTCCTAACAAAATATATCCAAAAACGGTATTTAGGGCATCAGGTTGTCCCGCTTTACCTTCAATTTTACCTTCTAACAACACCTTCGAAAATATGCTACAACCAATTAACAAATCAATAGATTGACTACAGTTAAATTCGGGATCGGCTAACTTTAAATTTTTGATATAATTCCACGTCGATATGTCAATTTTGGTGCTCGGCAAATCCGAGCAAACCCGATCTGTAATAACAGCTTCCAAGTGAAACACCGGTGACTCCTGATGACGAGGTTGGATAGAAAAACTTATTTGACCTTGATTCAGCTTCGTTTGCATCGAATTGAGTCCGTTAACTTCAAACGAACAAGGAGTTTTAGGCCAACCTAATCTACTGGCAGCTTTTCGACTAATGAACGAACTCATTGAACCCGAATCTAAAAGACATCTCAAGGGCTGTTTACACCCCTTACTATCAATTGCATGAACCCAAACGGTACCGAGCAAGATTTCCTTTTTTGTTTCGTTTTTCCTCCCTACAAAACTAGCAGCACAATGTGATATTTCAGGCGAATTCTGTTCGACTCCCGATGCCCCTGGATTATTAGTATTTTCTGTGGACGACTGACTATTGGAACGATTTCTATCGAAGTGCAGCAAACTATTATGAAGGTGACTATTACATTTACTACATTTAAAGGACTTTGGACACGACTTGACAGAATGATTAGCCTGATTAAGACATCTAAAACACGAGGAAGATTCTTTACAAAATTGGTATCTCTCTTTTGGAGATTTCTTCAAAAACAACGAGCACTGGTTTAGAAAATGACTTTGCTTACATAAAGCACAGCTTACTAATGACGAATTTGTAACAAAGGATGAACTACGATTATGCCTAGACTCATTCGAATGTTTATAATTACCCTTAGGCTCCGTATAAGTTGGGGCCCGCGACGACTTCTTAGATTCGCTTACGCTACTATTCAAATTATCGTAAGCAATGTACTGAGTTTCAATAAACTCAACTAATTTTTGAAATGACGGGATTTTATTCGATTTATTTTCTAATTCAAATAATTTTACTGAATCCGCGTCTAGTTTCGACAAAAGTAAATTAAACATAATAAAGTCCCAATGTTCTGTCGGAAGGCCTAATGTTTTCAATGCGGCTAAATTTTCTAAAAACGTGTCTACTAATTTAGCCAGATTTTTCGAATTAACTAACGATATTTTCGGCACGCCCATGATCGCATCCCAATGCGCGGTCGCACACCGACGAACATTTGTGTAGCGTTTAACAATTAAATCGTAAGCAATTTGATAATTATCGCTATTTATTGGCAAATTACGAATCAAACTAAGTGGAGTCCCTTCTAAACATCCTTTCAAATACTTAAACTTTTCTACTTCTGCTAGTCCTGCGTTATTATGTACAACCGAATTATATAAATCTAAAAACGAACTAAACTCCTTAAAATCACCGTTAAATTTAGGCAGTTCTATTTTAGGCAAGCGAATGTTAGATTTTGGAACTACTACCGACCTAAACGGTTCTGGAGTTTCACATTGTGGCTCAAATAACTCCGCACTAAATAATTTTATTTTATAAAATTGTTCCAAAAATAATTCCCGAACATTTTCTTCGACCCTCGTATCCGCGTCTGGTACAGCAAGAATATTACTAATTATATTTGTGTGGTGTTTCAAGAATTCATCGCGTATTAAATCTAATTCTTCCACCCTGATTTTAAATAAAGGTCGGATCGAAATATCCGAGAGCGATTTAAAACCCAAATCGAATATTATTTGCATATCGTTTAAAACAGTCTTTCTCATAAATTTGAGCTTTCTGTTTTTCTCTTCTAACTTGTCCATTGCCAATGTCTAATAAATTCCAATAATATACAAACGAAAAATGTACAAAAATGTTGTCTAAAACCCCGAAATGCTCGAAATTAATGATTTGAAATTCGATACTTTATTAAAACGACTATAATCTCCTTTTAAAAAATCCCATATGGTGCACTTTAAAAGGTCATAAATTATTCTCGGGTCTCGAAGTTAATAGCTTTCGACGAGAGACGCAACTTAATCAACCCTCAAAACGATAAAAAAATACGACATAAGACGAAACCAACCATTCAAATTTATAATATAACAAAATATTTTTTTTCAACAAATGAGTTCAAATTCGGCGAGATAGGCCAATGTGGGGGTTTAACAAAATAATGTACTATTACGAATTAATAGTACTAAGAGTAATACCAGCTATTCCTTCGATAGCTCTGGCAAGATAAATGAACTTTCACTCATAGGTGCAAATAACAAATAATATAAAATTTAAATGGTTGCAAAAACAATCAAAAAACAAACGAAGGTATTAAACTAGGTGAACTTACCGAACCGCTAATTAGGTACCATAATTCAATACTATAAAACCAACCGATTTCGATGCATCGACGCACTCGCGAGGGTTGTGTCTTGCGTCTATTCTGCTCAACGACTTAAGCGCTTGTGTCCTACGGGATGCATAGCATACCCGAACGGTACGAATAGGGATCGAAGGTATACAGGGGGAGGACAAAATGTCTTGATTAATTTATACAACCATATTTGAATTTAAACAATGTTTGTCAACTTATTCGCCATTTTTGTTAGGATTTACTTTTAATCTACATCTACTACGTCTTTGTTTTGCTGGTGTTTCTTGAGGAAAAAGGTTTAAAACTTGGTAGGACAAATCCATTAGATATGTGGCGAAGGAACGTATTCGACAGGGCAGAATGGAAGAACGTTAAACAAGCCAAGACCCACAAATGGTTGTAGCGCCATTAGAAGAAGAAGAAGAAGAAAAACAGAGTATTTTAAATATCCAGTTAATTGTGAAAAATAAGTATAATTAGGGTTGGATGGATAAAATGAAAGGAAGCGAGGAATGTATGTTGTGTGACAGAAAAATTTCAATGAAACTGAAGGGAAGATTCTGCCATAGAACCAGCAATGATGTATGGAACTGAATGTTGGGCAGTTAAAAAGAAAGATGAACAACGATTGCGTGTGGCATAAATGATATTGCTTAGAGCTTAAATGGATGAGGGGAGTGACAAGAAAGGATAAAATTAAAAATGAGTATATTAGGAGAAGTTTAGGAGTGGCAACAATGTATGCCAAAATAAGAGAGCATAGGTTAAAATGGTTCTGGGAGATAAAAAAAAGACCTGGGGGAGACGCTTAGGTAAAACATGTCGGTAAAGGGGATTAATGTTGGCACGACTCAAGATGAAAAAATGGAATTAGGGAAGGTGACCCGCCTAGGTATAAAGGCAAAGAGAATGCTGATGATGCTTTGCTGGTATTTCTATTATTTCTTACCTTGCTGTTTTCCATTTATTAACCGTTTGTATCTTCGTAACCATATTCAAACACAATTTTTTGGCTTACTACGACTCAGCTCTTACTATTTTAATTGATAACAAATTTATTTTTATTTATACTGTATTGGCTTGCTAATTTGAATATTTTCTCAAAAAAATAATTTTGTATAAAATTAAAAGTATATAGATACTTTTATTTTAGATCGAAACTGAAACTTACGTATTTGATTTTTCATGTTTTGTTTATTTAAAAATTTATTTAGCTGTACCACCCCCTCCTGTGAAGGACAAAAAGAAAAAAAGTAAACAGAAATCATTAAGTGGATCAAAAGAAGATTTATACCATCCTGTTATGAATGGTAAAGCGAGTAGTGTAGCAGGGTCAATGACGAAAGTTCGACAAGGCGGTCCGCAAATGGGAGTACCTCCTCCTCAACCTATTTATATTATGACTCCACATCCTGGAACGCTGCCCAATCCAAAGTTTTTTAAACATCACGGTAAGATTTAATCATATATATTTAATTTAATTTTAACCCTAAGTTAGACGTGTGAATATTACTGACTCAAATAGACGCGTGGGCTAAAATGGTAGCCCAACTTTTTATGAACTTTAATTGGTTGATTTATCTCAACTTAAATGAAAAAACATTAAAATTATTAGTTAGGCATATTGGAATTAGACGATAATATGAAAATAATATAAAATAACAGTGAAAACTTCTACAAATTTAAATAATATATTCGAATTCATTTATCCGTATAATTTTGCACTTAGGTACACAAATTGCATAAAAATCTTGTTTTCTGTATTAAAAAAACATATAAAAACATTAAATGCAACATTCATTAGATAGTAATCTTAGCATAAAACCAAAACACAAAGATTCATTTTACGATAAATGTTTTTAATGGAAAACAGCCTAAATTTGCTGCATATACTCTACATATACACTCTATACACTCTATATATATACACTCTTATATGCATGTATGGTATATAAAATATACATCGTCTTTCTGAATTTTGACTTGTCTGAGGGGGCGGTATTGCCACATCTGTAATTCCAACAGAACACAAGAGCGCCGACGAAGTTCCGAAGTCCAATTTTCAATTTTCTGTAAAAAAAACAAATTTTATGGTAATCGAGAAATCACCTAACAGAAAAAATTCTTACGAGATTAGTCGCACGGGTTACAATCGTAGCCCAGACGTAAAAATATACTAATATCTTTGAAACGCATGTTCGTATCTAATAAACTCTTAGCAAGTATTGGTTATCGATGCTTAACAAGCAGCTATACAAATCACCGACAATGCAACCAAATATTGGCACTAGCGGCAACAATTTAAAATGCTCTGGGCTACATATGTAGCCCACGCGCCTAACGTATAACGTATTGTTAATTTTTTTTGTTGTATTTGTTAATTTAGAGAGATGTAACTAAAATATCTTATCATATTCCATAAAAATGTATTAGAGCGTTACTTCTAAATAATTAATAATTAATTATATTGACATAATCAAGATCAAGTAAACAGCAATGTAAAATATCATTCAAAATCACATTTGAACAAAAGCAATTCTTTATAGAATAATCCATACTCCTGAATTGCTTTAGCTAATTTCTTTTCATATTCCTTCCCGTTCACTGCGTCAGAATTTACATTTCCATGTATCTCATCGCAGAACTAATTGTAGTTCAAATATAGGTATGATCTGACTTCCCATACGTGCAAATCAGTGCTCACGAGATATAATTTGTTTAACTTTTGAAATTTTAAACTACAAAATGATACTTTGTAAACTTAATGTGTACTTATTTTATACATGTATATTTAATTTTTGTATAATTTTGACAGTGGATCTGTCACCTTTGTTATTAATAAATAAATATAATATCTAATGTAAATATATGTAAATAAAATTTTGACATAATAGCTGGTACAGCCGAATATGATTAAAACATATTTCTCGATTTAGTACCATAATTTTTAGTCACCTTTTGAACAAAGTCCACTCAAATATTGTACAACTTTATTTAGCCGTATACGTTTGTACTATTATTAAAATTCAATAACAAAAATTTCAATCCTTAAAAATATGAAAAAACTAAAAGAAAAAATATTAAAATGATTATTTGGAAACATTAATAACACATTATTTAATCGTTTATATCGAAATAACATGTCAAAATAGTCTATTACAATGGCCAGGTAAGATCAATCACTAATCAATATACCTATTTAGGAGTTTTGTTCACATTCTCTTGTGTTTTTAGTGAGATATAATTAAAATATATTAACTGATTCCAAACTCTGTATTTGAATTTTGAAATGAAACTTTGCTTATATATATATATATATATATTATATATATATATATATATATATATATTATATTATATTATATATATATATATATTATATATATATATATATATATATATATATATATATATAACCATACAGCTTTAAAACTAGCATATTTATTAAAAACTGTTGCATAACTCTCCATTTGATTTTTTTATAGTGTATAAAGCGGTTCTGTAACAAATAGTTGTGAAACGTTCGAAAACAAAATCATAAATACAACGCAGTGAAAGAAACAATTTTAGGTTTTTTTTTATTTCTCGAAGAATGAAAGAGTAAAAAGAAAAGAGTTTTGAAATTAGTTGAAATTAAAATCAATTTCGTTAAATAAATTTTCAAAATAAATCAAAGTCGGCTCTGTCGCGTCCATATGTGCAGTGCCAGTCCAGGGTTTTCATCCAAACAATATGGCGTCAAGGTCACCGAATTTGGACTAAAAAGATCAAAGGTACCGCCTCAAAGTGAGAATACTGGTTGTTATTTATACTGTGTCCCATCATGCTGAAAATTGCGTTTTTCCAAATTATTATCAAAAGTAATTTCTTTGAACCAAAATGTTCAAGCGGCAGGATGACGCGTGACAGTCGTTTGCTGAGAGGATTCGAAGCACAAATTATTACAAAGAGAAAAGTGGATTTATATCATAAAAAAGCATAAGTAACATAACCTAAATAATGCATTATTCTTGCGCCCGATTTTAAAGTCAGTTTGAAATAAATAATAAATAAAAGATCACTTTAAATGTAAATTTTAGTTTCATAACACTTGCTTAGAGTTCATTTTAACCCAACAACCAAGTTTAAAGTTTAAATTTTATTTTTTTGAAGTTTACAAAAATGCATTAAGTTCAAGTTTTTCTGAAAATGCATTAAGATATATTCGCTGTCCAAAAGTTTACAGGGAAAGAATTAATTGTTCAAACCAATATGATGATAATAATATCATGGGCTTAACCTGCTAATTTATGCATTAGTATTATTTATGGTAATTTATGTTTCTTTATTCTTCCACATAAGTCTTCCATTCTTTTTTGACATTTGGCACTACTAAAGCTTTTCTATTTGACTCAGTGCTTGGTTGAAAAGTTATTTGGTGATTTACTTTCTCAAATCCAGTTTTTATTATTGCATCCATATTAACAGTAATGCTGTAATTTAATAATATATTTATTTGTATTTACACTACATACAACGTTTACCTTTTAATAACATACCGACATAACCTCAATCTTACTTTTTCTTCTTATTCTTTTTTGGGGCTACGTCCTTGTTATCCGGTAACCTCGATCTAACATGAAAGTGCAGTAAATTTTGCTGATTTACGACACCAGGTGTCGTACATCACGGTTTTTAAACATCACGGTAAGATTTAATCATATATATTTAATTTAATTTTAACCCTAAGTTAGACGTGTGAATATTACTGACTCAAATAGACGCGTGGGCTAAAATGGTAGCCCAACTTTTTATGAACTTTAATTGGTTGATTTATCTCAACTTAAATGAAAAAACATTAAAATTATTAGTTAGGCATATTGGAATTAGACGATAATATGAAAATAATATAAAATAACAGTGAAAACTTCTACAAATTTAAATAATATATTCGAATTCATTTATCCGTATAATTTTGCACTTAGGTACACAAATTGCATAAAAATCTTGTTTTCTGTATTAAAAAAACATATAAAAACATTAAATGCAACATTCATTAGATAGTAATCTTAGCATAAAACCAAAACACAAAGATTCATTTTACGATAAATGTTTTTAATGGAAAACAGCCTAAATTTGCTGCATATACTCTACATATACACTCTATACACTCTATATATATACACTCTTATATGCATGTATGGTATATAAAATATACATCGTCTTTCTGAATTTTGACTTGTCTGAGGGGGCGGTATTGCCACATCTGTAATTCCAACAGAACACAAGAGCGCCGACGAAGTTCCGAAGTCCAATTTTCAATTTTCTGTAAAAAAAACAAATTTTATGGTAATCGAGAAATCACCTAACAGAAAAAATTCTTACGAGATTAGTCGCACGGGTTACAATCGTAGCCCAGACGTAAAAATATACTAATATCTTTGAAACGCATGTTCGTATCTAATAAACTCTTAGCAAGTATTGGTTATCGATGCTTAACAAGCAGCTATACAAATCACCGACAATGCAACCAAATATTGGCACTAGCGGCAACAATTTAAAATGCTCTGGGCTACATATGTAGCCCACGCGCCTAACGTATAACGTATTGTTAATTTTTTTTGTTGTATTTGTTAATTTAGAGAGATGTAACTAAAATATCTTATCATATTCCATAAAAATGTATTAGAGCGTTACTTCTAAATAATTAATAATTAATTATATTGACATAATCAAGATCAAGTAAACAGCAATGTAAAATATCATTCAAAATCACATTTGAACAAAAGCAATTCTTTATAGAATAATCCATACTCCTGAATTGCTTTAGCTAATTTCTTTTCATATTCCTTCCCGTTCACTGCGTCAGAATTTACATTTCCATGTATCTCATCGCAGAACTAATTGTAGTTCAAATATAGGTATGATCTGACTTCCCATACGTGCAAATCAGTGCTCACGAGATATAATTTGTTTAACTTTTGAAATTTTAAACTACAAAATGATACTTTGTAAACTTAATGTGTACTTATTTTATACATGTATATTTAATTTTTGTATAATTTTGACAGTGGATCTGTCACCTTTGTTATTAATAAATAAATATAATATCTAATGTAAATATATGTAAATAAAATTTTGACATAATAGCTGGTACAGCCGAATATGATTAAAACATATTTCTCGATTTAGTACCATAATTTTTAGTCACCTTTTGAACAAAGTCCACTCAAATATTGTACAACTTTATTTAGCCGTATACGTTTGTACTATTATTAAAATTCAATAACAAAAATTTCAATCCTTAAAAATATGAAAAAACTAAAAGAAAAAATATTAAAATGATTATTTGGAAACATTAATAACACATTATTTAATCGTTTATATCGAAATAACATGTCAAAATAGTCTATTACAATGGCCAGGTAAGATCAATCACTAATCAATATACCTATTTAGGAGTTTTGTTCAC